TTTAGCCCGGCCGAACAAAACATGAAAAGCATGTCCAGTAGAGTGCTGGATTCCCTTTGAAACAATTTACCCATATCGAATTGCCCAAATCGTTGGAGCCCAAAGAATCCACAATGGATTCCATGTGTCCCATCCAAACCATGCAAACTTAGATAGCATTCCAGGAAAGGCCCTATCCTGCATCCGAAGAACTGCCAACACTCCGGGTGAAGGCTGGAGGACGACTTGCTTGCCACATGAGAAGTTTCGCACCCCACAGACCCAAAAAACCTTCAACTGGTACCTACCGAAAATCTATTGGGTATGGGTCAAAAAAATAACAATCACCAGGATATGGACCGGTGTTGGTTTCCATCTTTCCAGTTCCCGATCGGGCTTGCACCATTTCAGGGTTACCATATTTTTGACCCAAAGCTCGATCCAAGCGGCCATCCAAGGGCCTGTGAAGTTGCTTTTGTATTCAGGCGGGTTCTTTGGAAAGGTGGCCTTTCGGAGAAAAAGCATGACGGGCTCCCCTGGAAAAAATGGATGATAACACCCACCTAAACCAGTGGGACCCCATCTATTTGTAGCCAAACCTAAGCTGAAAAATTTGGACACCTCTGGTTTGGAGCCGAGGTGAGAGATACCGCTCGGAACAGACCCAGCCGTGCTGCCCTGAGCGGTTTTTGATCGCCTTCCAACGACCCATTTTTCGAGGGTAGCACCTGGGGGCCTGCCGCCACTGTCTGGTTTCCGAGAAAAGTCCAAGTGGTATTTTCGGGGCTTCCAACCCAAAGACCCAAACAGCTTCCACGAAAAAGCAAAGGGGCATGCAGCATTAGGTGTCCTTTTAGGTTGGAAATAGATGGCCCTGGTAGATGATTAAGCCACCAGGTAAACCAGTGCCATCTATTTTTCAACCAAAACCACCAAAAAGGACACCTATCGGCCACAGAAAATCCTGAACCAAGACGTTTAACCAGCTACCCGCAGCCGAGCAGAGCCGCCCATTTTGATCTTGCCGGACGGTTTTCGAGAGGCCCCAGTGACCGAGTGCCCGAGTTTGGTTCAAAGCGGCGCCAACGTTCAGTCCCAACCTTTGAAACAGCTCCAGGGGTGCCTTCCCCGTTCTTTCGAGGGATCCTTCTTTCTAGAAAACCTCCGGAAACCCAGGGAAAACAGCTGTTTTTTTGAAAAGAACGATGGTTGAAAAGAATGGGGAATCAAGCCCTAGAACAGCAGCCGTTTACGTTCTTAATCTTCCGTGCCCCTCGCAAACCAAACCAAAACCAATCAAGGTTGTCCTTTTGGAGGAAAAGGGGGCAGCCCATGTTTTTGTCCACAAAGCAGTTTCAGTGTTGCTTCCAAAGACAAGTTGCTGGCATACGCAGGATACAGTATTGAAAGGTAGGTAGAGGTTGGTTTCTTAGATGGTCCACGCCAAAACGCAACTGTCAGTGGTTGAGGAGAAAACCCAAAGTCCGAAGTATCAGAGGACATGGGGCAATTGGGTGGTCCTTCTGCTGGCTTTTGTGGCAATTTGGGCTGTCGCCTCATCCCGTCCTCCCCAAATCAACAGATTGTCAGTTGCTCACACGTTTCTCGAAATGAGAGTCTCGCCAGTTCACCTTCCCAACGATGTAATCACCCCAGACCCTGAAACCTCCAATACAGAAGGGAAGCCTCAGCTCGCTCGTTGCCCCTTGAGTTGACCTCGCTCGAGGGAGGGATCTGTTTGAATGACCCAAACTTGAGCCCTGCAGCGAATGGAAACGCCTCCCATGAGAGATCACCCCAAACCCGGAAAGAAATGACGCGAAAAAGGGGCCCGATGTAAAGCGATGATGTCCAACATACGACAAACCCAATTGAAGTCGACCAGAAAATGCTACAAAGCATCCCCACCCTGAGTCACAATCACGAGCCGGTAGGAACAATAGGTAGCCAAAGACACTCATAAGAGAAACAAAACTAAACCGAGGCAATCAAACAATGTACTAAACATACTGGGTCGATTGGAGTGACTTCCTCGACAATGACGGCATGCGGTGTTTGTTTCAATTTGAAAGGCTGACTCCTTCAAAACCAAAATCTGAGCGGATTCTGACTGGGTGCCTTAAACTATACATTTGCGGGCGGGAGGGGGTTCTCAACATTGGCTGTGGGAGCGATTTCCCGTTGAACCACCATGTGGAGGCAGCTGCCCAAACTCGGCTCGCCTCTCGGTACGGTGCCCTCGCATCCACTAAAAAGTGTATCGCTGGGCTCGGGATGAAACTAGGGCCAGGCAGCCTCAACTTGGCATTTGTTTCAACCCTCTGTAACCGTGAAACGCGGAAGGTTGAAGGCGTGAAAGGTTCCTTCGGCCCGGTGCACCGACGCATCGGGGGAGAGAAGGCACTGCATCCTCAGAAACCAAGAAGCAGTTGGCCACCGAATAATTGGATTGAAGTCACCGGGCTCTTCAAACGTATAAAGTCCAGCAACTCAGGGGGTGAGACACTATTACAGGGTTGCTCCCACACTTTCGCCAGGCTCGAAGTTTGACCCCCCCCCAAAACAAAGTTGGAATATCCTTGACCAATTTGGCCTCAGCGGCAGTCTCCCCGTTTCCGATCCATTTGAGTTCAATCCAAACAGGGAAGACAACCTGAAAAACAAAAAGAGCCTGGTGCGGCAAGGGTTTGGCCCGTGCAGAAGCGGCTCCCAGGCATGGGTTTTAAAACTTATACCATAAAGGGGGCCCCCCACCAAAACAGAACCTAGTAGAGTCACCCTGAAAGAAACAAACAACGGCCACTTGCGATTTGGGTACTTGTTGAATTTGGTGGTGACATATCATTTTTTTGTCTGGGCCGTTTTGGGTTCTGAGGATCCTGCTCTGGCGATTTTCAAATCGCCCGCTGAATTCGCCTATTTGGGCAGCCATTGGGTGTGGTGGTTCAAGATGCGACTGTTCCCAAAGTGTGTCTCGTTCCAAAACGTGCTTCCACACCTCCAGAAAATCTCTCATAGGAATTCAAGATCTGCGGCCCATGACCATGGGGCGCCCGTGTTTTTCTGTTGACTCAAGGGAAAACCCTCGCTCCATTGGACAAACAAAGGAACCACCACTGGCCTGGGCATCTTGAACCACCGGAGCCCAGACGCCCTGAACGCAGACTCTACGCAAGGGCAGCCGGAGGCCCCAAGCCTGGCAACCACCCTCCGGGCGACACCCAACAAAAATAGACAGAACTTGTCGCTGGTAACGTGCCAAAAAGGGCAACTCTGGCCATTGGGAAAAAGTATCTGGCCAAACTTATTTTGAGGGTAGTGCCCAAAAGCCAAGGGAAGGGTTCATGAGCCTTATATCGCGCGGCCAAAAAATGCAAGACAGGACACGACTCCACGACTGGCAAGTTGCACGAGAGAGCGCGCGTGCAGCAAGTTGCAGAGGACGCACGCAGCTTGAAAGCAAACTCAGTCTTTTACAGCGGCGCGGTGGGACAAAACCCACTCTGCGGTCGACTCTGCGGTTCGCGCGACATGCTGCATAGATCGGCGTGGTCGAGGCTTAAACATTCAAGGTTTTTACAGTTTTTGCGGCACTCGCGACCCTCTGCGCGAATCGGCGTGGTCGATGTGCAAAAACTAAGGGCTTTCGATACTTGTTGTTCTGCCGGGGCGACTCTCCGCAGCTTCTCTGCGCAGGTGCGTTGTGCATGCTGCTCTGTGCAGCTGTCTCCCTGCAAGCTGCTCTGTGCAAGATTCTGCGTGCATCGTTCTCGATGCAGGGAACTCGGCCCAGCATCCTGGAGAAACTTGCGTCGAGAACGTCCGCGAACAAATTTGCAAAGAGCAAGTTGCTCACGCAGCTTGCGCAGGTAAACTTGTACAGATAACTTGCGCAGAGAAACTTGCACAGATTGCATCTTGCGCAGGGAACTTGCAGAGTGAACTTGCGCAGAGCTTACTAGCGCAAAGAAAGTGCAAGGGTGCAGAGAAACTTGAACAGAGAGGCTCTCGCAGCTACGACTCGAAGGCATGCCTTCTGGCTTGAAAGACGAGCTCGGCACCAAAACTCAAAAACGCGGTAGAACCTCCTAACACAGTTTTCGTGAACACACAAATGCGGGAAATCAACGGACCGCCAGAAAAAGACAAAAAAATATGATGCTTTCGCGTGGCCCAGCCCTGGCTCTAGTTGCAACCCAAAGAAGGGCACCAGCTTGGAGGTCGGGGCAAGCTAAGTCTAAGAAAAAGGAAAACCTAAGGACGCCTAGCATCACCTAACCCAAGTCCTATTTCAGCTTTCCGTCTATCAGGAAGAACCCTTAGGGGTACAAAACACCCACCCACCAGGGTTGCTCCAAACATCTCGAGATTTAGAGCACGGGGGAAACCATCGGTGAGCTAACTTGCTGAAAGCTGCGAAGTCCCCATCAAGAAGCACGGGCCTGTCCTTTTTAGGGGCCCCCCGAAATGGAAACCGCCAAAAAAAACGGGGCAGCCTCAAAAACGACACACCCACATAGAGCACTTGAAAGGCGCGTATTCATAGGCCCCTTGGGTGCCCGTTGGGGCCTACACCGGATTGGGTTAGGGAACCATGGATAACAGACCTTTCTGCGATAGGCCATTCCTGCAATCATTGCCCTTTGCAAAGAACCCCGCCACTCACAGCTGGGCTGCCCTCAAATCCCCTGCTAAAAGTTTCACTTTCAGTGGGTTAAATTCGAAAACCCCCACTAAACACTAAAAGGCTAAAAAGCTAAGGAACCGGATGGCTGGGAGCCACCAAGACAGAACGAGTCTTCTCCTTTCGCCGGCCCTTTTGGCGGGGGCGCTTGGCAACCCTTTCGCCCGGAAACGCCGGAAACGCCGGATCACAGAAACAAGCTTTGCAGCATTCGCATGAATCATTCACCAGGATTGGGCAAAATGTGTTTAAACAACAGAGCTGTTGTATCCTTGAAAGGGAAACCCAAAGGTGGTTGATTGAAGTTCCAGCGGTTTCATGGTGGTAAACACCGTGAGTGCATCGCCCAACCCCTGCAAATCATTCACGTCACCGAGACTGGGCTTGGAAATCCCTGTAGGATCTCCCGAAGCTTCTGCTGCCTCGAATCGATGAAAGTTCGATTCCACCCCACCGGACTGAGGGTGACCACTGACAACTGCTTGCTGTTGCTCAGCAGGGAATGAGAACTGGAATGACCCCTACAAACCATCTGCTATGGTTTCCTTCAAGGGAACTAGGTTCATTCTCCAAACCCGCCATTCCCTACCTATCGCACCAAGACTGTCCAGCTTCCCTCAAACCGAATCCGTGGCTTGGAGCCGAGTCGCTGGCTTGGAGCTGTTACGCGGGCTACCTCTACCAGAGCCGGCTTCAAGTTCCCGAGCCGATTCAAATCAACTACCAGGTCCTCCAGTGGAGAGGTTAGAAGAAGTTGGCACCATTTTTGTTTCTGTAGTACCAACTTTTTTGTGTACCCTCTGTGTAGGTACCCACTTTTTTTCTGTGGGAACCCTCCCAACCAAAAAAGGGGTGAGAGGTCGGGCACCAATTGCTGGACCTAGAGGTAAGCTGAACTGGGTGCTCAAAATTTAACCGGGGGGGCAAACCGGAATTTGAGTTTCCATGTTCCACTTACCAGGGCTTAAGCCATTTGGGTTAGCCGGTTTTTTGAGCCACTGCCAACTGGAACTGTCTTATGCTGGAGAAAACGAAAGAACCCCAGGCCATTCAGGGCAGTGCTAGCTATGCCAGGAGTGTACAGTGTAACCCCTGCTCTTAGCGCACTCGCACATCCTTTATTGGCAGACTTGCAGTGAGCTAGTGCACTTGAGCCGGTCTTCTTTTGATTTGGTAGCAAAGCAGGTGCGCACAGGTGCCATCATTTTGGCGGGGGGGAGAGATCTTACAAAATGTGTGCCATAAATGGTATGTGGTTGTGATATGGGTTGTTTTTTCAAAACTGCCTCTTTGGAAAGAATCCATGGCGCTCGAAACATGTGGGCTGGCAACGAACACTTGAACGATGGCTCTCATCATTTCGAGAAGTGCGTAAAGCAGCCGTTTCATATTGTTGCCATGCACCTCCAGTGAACATGCGCAGGGTTCTCCGTCTTCCAGATGGATGCTGTCAACAGAGTTCACTGGCCACACCGCGTTACTTGCAGGAACGTCAAACAACCAACAGTCCTTGTCCTCAGGTTTGCCCCTGCGTGAGAAGTAAACATGCACTGGTAAAACCAGCACGAACAGCATGTATATTCGGACGGGGCGCCCGAAAGCGGGCCTGTTTGGATATGTGTGCGTGTGTGTATATATATATATATATATGTGTTAGGAGAGTGCAACTGGGTGTGAATGGCCTGTTGGTGTCCTTTTGGGAAGGTTGAGATAGCTATCTAGACGTAATTATGAGGAGTGCTTAGTTTTTTTCAGCCAGAAAATTATCTACTTTAGGGACTTGCTTTGACTAGGGTTCCCCGGACTCATCCAAAGCCAACATGACTCCAAGTTCCCATTTGGCTTAGGGTACGATGTCAATCCCTGGCTAATCAAGCAGGTTTTGAACGTGGAAAACCTACGGTTTCCACCGTAGTCAACTTTAGCACCCAACAAAATCCCCGGCATTTGGAGGCGGGGAAGCTTCCCACTGAGCAGGCGACGTCTCATCGTCCAAGATCGGATCGCCGCTCCTTGGCCGACGAAATGCTCGCCAACATGAACCGCCTGGTTGCTAGTTGTGGTAGCTAGCCTTGTTTAGAGGGCAAGCGTCCTGCCCTTTTGCTAGATTTGATGGGTTTCTGAATGATTTTTCACGGGGTCCCTTGTTACGTGCTCGGACGCGCAAAAAAAACCGCAGGAAGGGGTCAAACAAACTGAAACCAATGGAATCCATCGGTTTTTGAACCAGACTGAAAGCACTAAGGGCATGTATGCCAAGAACTCCTTAGCTGGTTTGCATTTGGTTAAAGTGGACGCACAACGAGCCTGTGCTCTCCCTCCCCCGCACGCGCATTCATGTTAATTGGGCACCCTTTGGTGGACATCATTTACATGGGGATTTTTATGCCGCCAACCAGATGGGAGGGTGTTCCATCAACAGTCATACGCATATGTGCCGAGTTTGCGTATTTGGCAAGGTGTTTACCCGTTTTGCGACGTCAGGGTTCCCAAAAAGATATGTGCCCAATGCGTCGCAAGAGGCTGCTCTTTGCCCTATCTGAATGCGAACATATCAACATGGCAATGTCGCCTTTTAGCCTATATTGTCCACTTTATCGAGGGAAATCATGGGAAATAGATTTAGCCCCCTCCCTGTACATGATATCATCATATACTGATTTGGTGGCATAACAAGGGGAGCCGTTGCAACACAGTGACTATCAGTGGCTGGCGACTTGGGCCCATTGGGTATGGGTCATAATTTCACATGGCTCCCTTTGCTAAGTCTTTGAATCAGTAAGTGGGGACGCCTGCGCAAATCGGCAAATCATTCACCAACCGCAAGTAACCTGGGCCACTCCGAAACTTGGCGTCCGCGAAACAAGCCCAGCGGTGCAGCCGAAGGGTCCCGGATTTGGCGTCGACGGTCAACGGGACGCTCAAGTAGATGGTCTTCTCAGCTGGCGGCTTTGATTCCTGCGCGAAAGGCGAGCCAAGCGAAAGCCGACGTTGGCTGAGGTGAACCTAGTGGGGGTTCTCAAAATGGCAGACCCACTTTTGGCGATTTTGAAAAGAAACGAAAAGGGAAAAAACACTTCTTTTGGTGGTCCCCTGATTTGAGAAACACACTTGTGGGTGACCACAAGTGCGTTGGTTTGAGGCTTTTTATGAGCTTTACGTGGAGGCATCTCACACACAAACACACACACCTGGGTGGGTGGGACAGAGTCCCTACCCCAACTGGCTGCCATGGGTGGAGTTTTGCCCTATGCGCATGTGTATGAATATACATATTCGACTGCTTGACCACGTATGTGTCAGTGCCTGATACGATTGCCACCAGAAACCGATGGGGCCTACTCAACACTGATACCCAGCAAGCTGCAAAACCGCCACACCAAAAGACTGAAAAATGGGGGCGGGTGGGGATCAAAAGGTCCTTTACAGGGGGTGGACCATTGCTTGGAAAACCCACCAAAAACATAGTTGATTTTTCGGCCACACGGGAAAGAAGTTGCCCATGGTCAAAACTGGGGGCCTTGAACGGGAATATTCGAGTGGTACCCTCCCCATTCTCAGGGAGCCTTCTCAAACAATGAGCCACGTCCCTGGAAATAGGTGGATTCTAAAGAGAACCATGGGTGAAGAGAATGGGGAATCAAACCTTAGACATATACTACAAATATGTTCAGTAGTGAAATCGATTCCCTTTAAAACCAAGAAGGGAAAATACAAAAACAATCTGATGAACGGGCAGAAGCAATATGGCTGTGGCTCAAACATGGGGGGTCCAAAATGGAACCCTGGCAAATGGAAAGGTAGACTCAAACCTTCGTAACCCCGGCTGCTTGATTTTGAGCCACACCCATATACTGATGAAACCCCCCACTCCCGGCTCTCTCTGCCAAGGAGCACTGGAGCTGAACCTGAGCGAGGTGAAGCATTAGAAGGCGGCACGAAAACCCGGGGAAGGAGTTGCTTTTGGTACGGAAAGGGACCCTTTTTCACACACTGAAGGGGACCCCGCAAAAACCCACCCCCCGTTGGGAAAGACTCAAATATATCATGGTCGGAGGTGTTTGTTTTTTTCGGTGGTGGTGACATGGTGTGTTTGGAGAGTCCTAGGACAAGTTCTATGACCTTTTCACAGGCTTTCTGCACCTGGGGATCGTCAACTGGAGGTCCAGCCCTTTTGTTCGCCACGAGGACGCATAGGAGCCACGGACAAGGGGAAAAGGAGCCCGCCCGTTTTTGTGAGGAATGTGTGGCCACTCCAAACCAATTGTCAGTTGCTCATTCACCCCTGTGGCTTATGGAGTTTACTGTCACCTTCGGATACATCAGGAAAATCACAATAAGTGAAGGGTGGTTCCCCCTTCAGTAGGGAGTATATAATTCATTGCAGGGGGATTCCTCTGCCTCTAGCCTGGTTCTCTGGAATGCCGTGTCCACATTTGGCCGGCCAGGGGTTGGCATTTTCCGATTCATTGAATCTAAGGCAAACAAAACTGCCTGCCGAAACAGGGGCATATACTTAACCACATGTTCTACGAAGGCAAAAGCACATCAGACCTCGGGCAAGGCTTTGTTCGACTCATGTAGTCAAAACGAAAAACAAGCCGAGAGCAGCTTGCTGAAACTGTTTGGATCAACATCTGCATCATACACACCACGGTTGCTGGGCATGCGGCGTTCATGAAAGCCATCTTGCGGCTTACTTCGTGAGTGGACCTCAATTTTCCGGTCTGTGCTTTGGTCGCCGAGCACTCGAGCTTTGGTCAATGCTGAACTCCCTGGCTCCTTCTTTTCCCAAAACAACGCTTTTCCCGACGCGGAATTCGTCTGGATTTGTATGCATTTCTGCACAGAAATCGAAACGGCCTGAGACAAAAGGATTCGCGCCCGAGGTGCTGTTGGAAGTGCGCGTGCAGCTTCTTCAAGTTCTGGGCGTCCCTGTCACAGTCCCGAAGGTGCAAGCGGCGCTTTGCTTTCGGCGGTTTGCGGCTCCCCAATTTCGGTGATGAAAAAGAAAATCCGGCGCGTGGAAAACCCCCAGTGCAAAGTGTGCGCCAAAAAAAAGTTCTTGCCCAAGAAAACTCCACAAGGTGTCACCCCTTCAGAAGTTGCAATGTTCATGCTAGGTTCCAACGACCATGCCTCGTAATTAGAGAGGTCCAAGCAGGTCGCTAAAAGAGAAGCGATGATTACATGCCGCCCTCGCGTTCGCATGGCTGGATATCCCTGGGTTGCGTGGAAATCCCAGATTTGAGACAGGGAAGCCCCTCGGATTCCGCGAGCGTGCACTCCCTGGGCCCCAAGCTCAAACCCTGTTCAACGTGCAGGCGCCCCAGTTAAACGGGACCCCTCCCCCAACCCCTAACAAGTTGTTCCCCAGATAGCTGAAAGCTATAGGGGTTCTAACTTCTCATACAGAGGGGAAAGTGATTTGCGAGATTGACGGGCTGGTGCTAGGGGTCGTGCAGTTTGGGGTGCTGGTGTAGGTTCTGATTGGGGTGCTGTTTGAGGTGCTGATGGCAGTGCGGGCGCATCTCTCCAAGATTGACGGTGGGGTGCTTGCGGGGCATGCAGTTGGAGGCTGCTTGTGAGGTGCTGGTGACGGTGCGGGCGCATTTTTGCGACACTGACGCTCGGATGCTATCGGGCATACAGGTGACGGTGCAGGCGCATGTTTGCATCTTGACGGTGGGGTGCACGGGGGCATGCAGCTTAGGTGGTGTTTTGGTATTCTGTTTGGGGTGCTGGTTGATTTTTGCAAGATTGACGGCTGGGTGTCTTGGGGGTTGCTGTTTGGGGTGCTCTTCAGGGTGATGGTGTGGGCGCATGTTTGCGAGATTGACGGCTGGTGCTGTTTTGGGATGCTGTTTGGGGTGCTGTTGGAGGTGCTCGTGACGGCGTGGGCGCATGTTTGCTCGATTGACGGCCGGATTTTGTTTGGGGCATTCTTCGGGGGGTGCTGTTGGAGGTGCTGGTGTGCAAGCATTGCTATCTGGGGTCTATGCTGGTTTCCCCTTTTTGTTAAAAAAACACAAAATGAAGTCTAAGATAAAACTAACAAATAATAATAGCAATAATAAGTAACAAATAATAATGATACATAGGGAAAGCAACATATATATATATATATAATAATAACAATAATAATACGAATAATGATAATAGTAATGATAATAATAATAAGTAACAAATTAATAATAATAATAATGATAATACTAATGATAATGATGAGTAACAAATAAACAATACTAATAAATACTAATACCAATAGTTATAGTAATAATAATAAATAAAAATAATAACAATGTGTAATAAAGCAATAATAATGATAATAATAATAATAATATAATAAGTAATACATCAAAAATAATGATAATGATGCTAGTAACACGTAATAAATAATAATGAATAACAATACCAATAAATATAGTAATACCAAATAGTAATGATACTAATAATACATAAGTAATAATGATAAGCATGATAATAATAAGTAATCAATAAGTAATAATAATAAATAATAGTACCAATAATTATAGTAATAATAAATAATAATGATGATAATAATGATATATAAATCATAGTGATAATAATAATAGTAATAACAGTAATGGTGAAACCAACAACAATAACAATAACACTAACAATAACAATAGCAATATCAATAGCAATAACAATAATAATAACAAAAACCATAAAAAATAATAATAATAATAAGATCAATCAATCAATCAATCAATCAATCAATCAATCAATCAATCAATCAATCAATCAATCAATCAATCAATCAATCAATCAATCAATCAATCAATCAAATCAATCAATCAATCAATCAATCAATCAATCAATCAATCAATCAATCAATCAATCAATCAATCAATCAATCAATCAATCAATCAATCAATCAATCAATCAATCAATCAATCAATCAATCAATCAATCAATCAATCAATCAATCAATCAATCAAATCAAATCAATCAAATCAATCAATCAATCAATCAATCAATCAATCAATCAACTCAATCAATTCAATCAATCAATCAATCAATCAATCAATCAATCAATCAATCAATCAATAAATCAATCAATCAATCAATCAATCAATCAATCAATCAATCAATCAATCAATCAATCAATCAATGAAATCAATCAAATCAATCAATCAATCAAATCAATCAAATCAATCAAATCAATCAATCAATCAAATCAATCAAATCAAATCAAATCAAATCAAATCAATCAAATCAAATCAAATCAAATCAAATCAAATCAAATCAAATCAAATCAAATCAAATCAAATCAATCAAATCAATCAAATCAAATCAAATCAAATCAAATCAAATCAAATCAAATCAAATCAAATCAATCAATCAATCAATCAATCAATCAATCAATCAATCAATCAATCAATCAATCAATCCTATCCATCCATCCATCCATGCATCCATCAATCAATCAATCACTCAATCAATCAATCAATCAATCAAATCAATCAATCAATCAAATGAATGAATAAATGAATGAATGAATTAATGAACACATGAATGAATCAGAACAAAACAAATCAAATCAAATCAAATCAATCAAATCAAATCAAATCAATCAATCAATTAATAATAATTAAAAAAAATCATAATAATAATAATAAAGTATAAACATAATAATATTAAAATAATAACAACAATAATAATAGCACTAATAATAACAATAACAATAGTAACAACAACACGGTTCGTGAATCCGGGGTAGACAGTACCATGTCAGGGGCACACCCATCTCCAATGGAAAATGCCGCTACGCCCTTCGGACACCCCACGGATTTGAGGCTTCAACGTTGCCTGTTCAAATGGGTTCCAACTATGACAAAGGCTTGCTCGCAAAAAGTTGGGTGCGGGGCAATGGGATGTTGAACCTACCTACATTGCATGGAGGGTCCTTCTCTCGAACAGCTAGTGGCCAGTTTCAAGGAGCATTTGAGCTAACCCGTCGAGGGAAATGCTGCTGGTCAAAGGAACTTTCCCTGGCCCCGTTTTTTTTTTTGGGGGGGGGGGCCGTGGCTGGTGAGTGGCTGCGTGTTCCAATGGTTAAGGCCCCCACTGAAAACACATGGGAGCGGGAAAAAATGGTACCCAAAATGGAACCCTGGTAAATGGAAACGAGGACTCGGTCCCCTGGCAGTTTAATCTTAACCCATACCCTCAGACTCTCCATATTTTGTCTACCCTACAGATAGAGCGTGGCACTAGAAGAGACTTCAAATGGTGATAGAATGATCTGTCTGTCATATTGACCCACTTCCCTCCCAGGCCATGGAAGCCCGATCAGGCCATGCAAAAGGTGCCAGCAACTGATCTGTTGGCCGCTTGAAAGGGAAACCGAAATGAAAGGTGTCCACGCCACAGTCCTCCCAACCCGTTGGACTCTTCAGTCTGAAGTCCCAGATCACCGATGAAAAAAAAAGGGCGCAGGCGCAGGCGGCTCGCCCAGAAGTCCCAGAAATTCTGACGAGGGAGGTCCCATCCACATGGCGGATCACTGGAAAATGGGTTTGAGTTCTTGATACCCTCTTTGGGCTGGCACGGGCTGGCACCCAGCGAACACCACCGGTTCATCTGGAACCTTTTGGGGCTCAGTTTTCAGACAAACCAGGGAGGCCCTGCTCACACAACACAGGTCTTCATCTTAACCAGGGGCCAATGAGACTGTCACAAGCGCTTGCAAGCCACCTGAGTTTCTCGGGAGATCAGGGAGCTTCTAAGGTAGTTCAAGGGACACCAAAAGAAAACCACCCGATTTGGGGGAACCTCTATTTTGAGAAACACCCATCAATCACTGGCGAACGCCGCCGATTTTGCACCCTTTGACTTTCGCTTCGGGGGTTCAAGCAAGAATCCCAAAAACAGAGCCCCGTGGAGACATTCCCTATAGAGTCAACACAAAAAGAAAGAGCACGGGTTCACCAGCTGATATGGAGTGAGAGGTGGCCTGAAAGGGGATGCCTTTGTTGCACTCGAACGTCGCATCTGGGCGCCCCGACTCAGGCGAGAACTTGGGCTTGTCCTTCGGGAAGTTGTCGGTCAGCTCCACCTTGGCCGTGCAAAGCGAGCAGATGGGTGGCGCCTTTTTGTCTTTTTGGAGGGGGCCAATTGGTTTTGCTTGGTTTGAAGGGAACCCAAAGAAGCTGGGTGGGACATCCTTTTTGGTAGGGTACCCTTTGTTGGTGGTTGTATTATTGAAGGGAACCAACAGAAGCCATTCTGGGCTGTCCCCTAAAAAACGACCCTCCGAAAAAATCGGTGGCACACCCAGCCAACAGGTATAGTTCACATTCTCTAGGAAATGGGTAGGACATCCACGAGGGGGTCATATGCCGATTGAGTCGTCTCTTTCCAACAATCATGGACGTGGGGGTTTTGGGCCACTAGCATAGCACTTGTGGGAGGGTTCCTGGAAGATCAATCTCCTCTTCAAGAGACCCCGTGTCAGGTGCCATGTTGGAGAGGGGGGGGGTGGTCTTCTAAAATTCCGATCCGATCAGCTTCCATACTTGGCGGGAGGGTAGTGACTATGAGTCCAACACCTTTCTTTCGCCTTGACTCCCGGCCGCGCGCCGGTCGGTGCGGAAAGCACCGAATCAGAAGGAAATGGAAGACCTACTCGGATCCTATCACAAGTCGGGGACATTTCAAGGTTCGCTGAGTGGATCGGGTTGGATCCTCAAGTTCGGGACCTTCAACAGCTGAGCTCAGTTTGCCCCTGGATCAGCTTACCATATAGGCACTTGGATGTGATATTTCTGGGTGATGTGTTTTTTGAGGGTGTCCCATTCCAAAGGGGGACCCCCCCCAAAAAACAAAAAAATCCACCAGGAGAATTCCTCCGGGGTCGACAATAGGTGATAACCATGGTTATACATGGAGCGCACACCGGGTTGACAAATAAACAACCGACGGTGGCTACAACCTACTGAGTTGGTTGATCACATTTGAAAAACCATCCCAAAGGCTCCAATCAAGGGCCCTCAAAATCGGTAGCTGTCCAAGGCTCCTGAAGGTTGGGTCGCTTCATACTAATATGGGTGTGCTTTTTTTTGAGGATACCTTTTTCTTTGTGGTTCGAAAGGGCTACAAAAGGAAACTGGTAGCTATTTTGGGGGGTATGGGGCATTGGGGCTAGAAATGGGACAAGGGCAAGCGGACACATGGGCTGGATGTTAAGCAACAAAGGAAGGAAGGAAGGAAGGAAGGAAGGAAGGAAGGAAGGAAGGAAGGAAGGAAGAAAGGAAGGAAGGAAGGAAGGAAGGAGGGAAGGAAGGAAGGAAGGAAGGGAGGGAGGGAGGGAGGGAGGGAGGGGAGGGAGGGAGGGAGGAGGGAGGGAGGGAGGGAGGGGAGAGAGGGAGGGAGGGGAGGGAGAGAGGGAGGGAGGGGAGGGAGGAGAGGGAGGGAGGGGAGGGAGGGGAGGGAGGGGAGGGAGGGAGGGAGGGGAGGGAGGGAGGAAGAAAGGGTCTCCGAACATGCCCAGGGTTTCCACTGCAGAATCAGCGTGAACCACACCCTTTGTCGAACAAAACCTAGAGGCAATGACGGAATCGTTTTGTGGGTCCCCCCTATTTGAAGACACACACCCTTATAGTTCCTTTGGAAATGGCAGTGGTCTTGACATGTGATGTTCAAAGGGAAGGCCCGCTGGCCGTCTCCAAAACCTGTTGGAAGCCAAAAGTGAACCGAACCGAACCGCATGGGCATTCCCAGAAGTTCAAGTCATATGTACTAGCAGGGTCTCCAAAGGAATACATTTTGGCCCGTTGAATATGGCATTGACCAGCTTTGGAAGATATTTGTATCTTTTGGTGAAGCCCTTGCGAAGCGCGTGCGTCTTTGCGAGCGCTTTACAGTGCTTGAATGGCTCATGGGACTCCGTGTGCCCATCGCCATATGGCCACTCTCCCTCGGAAAGCGGAAAGGATGCTGGGATGTTCGGCCAAGTAATTTTGAGGTGACAGCTCCACTTGGGACTTAAAAAGTGGGTTCTTATCCAGGTTGCAAACAGGTTGCCAGCTCCGAGCATGGAAGCGCACTGCAGACAAGGTGCGTAAAGCCACGCCTGACCTGACCGAGCTGCTCGAAAGGCGGGCGAGGCCACGGGTTTCGGCGCGCGCTTGATGGCCCTCTGCCTCCATCTTCCCCCAAACCAGTTCTTTCTCCAGATCGAGATTGTCCCGATACTTTCCGAAGAACGCAAAGTAAAAACTAAACTCATACAATCCCCTCCTAATCCGCATGGATCTGGGTCAAGAATTGGTATCCAAAATGGACCGACCGGCGGGAAATGGAAACAAGGACTAAAACCTGCGGTCCCCTGGTGGTTTAATTTTGACCCATACCCACATGTTCAGACTCTCCATATTCTGTCTACCCTAATGGAGCGTGCCGCATATCAGGATTACCTATTTATCAGGATTACCTGTTCTTGACCCACACCCACACAACCCCCTCCAAATCCACAATCTGGGGCCGACATTTTGGACCATTCCAGCCTGTTGCTTCGCGCGGAGCCTGGCAAGCGCACGACTTGTTGTCAGAGCTGTTCTTCATTGTTGAGTCGGTACCCCTCTTGGCGCTATTTCTCAAGGGGCCCCATTTTGTGGAGTTCCACCCCATGAGACAAACCCAACAGCACATTCGCTCCCAACTTAGCTGCATCGCTGGCTCCACTGTTCGGCTTGGTACCAAACCCCCCAAACACCCCCAACCGCAAGGGCCGTCCTGAGCCTTTGCTCTTCTTTGGCCTTGGGGTCTTTGGGGGGGAGGCTGTAGCTACGTAATGACGCTCCTGGTTTTTGCTTAAATGAAGGAACACCACAAAATCAAAAAGCGCAAACATGTAGCATTTCCCAGCAAAAAAGCTATTTTTTAAAAAACTCACACTGGACTCCAAATGGTGCCCTCAAAAAAGACCGACCCCACTGGGGGGGACTATCCATGAATATGAATGTTGCCCAGGGTAGTCTTGCTGGGGGCAGAACAAAACCGGTAATTCTTTCAGTGAATTCCGGCATTTTCCAATAGTCCCGCTTAAGGGAGACGAATCCAGGCATTTTAAGACAAGAGAGTCTTACTTGAGGGACACAACGCATGTAATTCACATGTATGTTCTCAGTGCATCCGGCTTTGCGTTGAGCTAGTTTTGAAGGGAATCTCCTGGTAATCACAGAAAGTGCCCGCAAAGAGGGTACCTGGATTGCCAGTGGCGCTTACTGTTTTTTTCCGTGTAACTGTCAGGGCAAAGTATGGTTTCAGTGCCTGGATTTCCAGAAAACACCACTGCGAGGCCCGGAATCCCTGCAATCTGAGTCCCGCCTTTGGCCTGGCTGCAGCCTCGGCGAGGGCTCAACTGGGTGTCCCTGCCCTGCCTATTAACGGAAGGAAACCATCGGGGGGTTCCCAAACAACGAGATTCTGCAAATAGATGGGTTTCCCCATATTAACAGAACCCAAAAAGGACAAGAGGCAAACCCCCTCTGACCCGCGGACAAATAAAACATGTTCGGCAAAAGGGTAAAGACAAATTGGTTTGCCCCCCCCTCCCCTTCCCCCGGTTTTGCAAGATTTGGCTTCCCCTGTCTTGTCCTCCCCATAACAGCAGACCGCTATCAGTTGCTCATGTGCCATTGGACTGTGGGAAGGAGAACACGAGGAATTACTCCAACCGCCCAACCAAACCAAGCACAACCTGAAAGCTGAGGTACCAGGATGCGAGCTGGTCGTCTCCGTTTCAAACCATCTGCCCGAACAAAAACAGAAGCTTCTAGGGGTTGATTCCCCGTGCTGCTCAACCATGCTTCTTCACTAAATTGGACATCGCCGCAAACTGAAGACAGATTGACATGGCCAGGTAGGGTTTGCTCGCAAGCAGGCCAGGATTCACAAGCTTTGTCGCTTGAACGAGGTACTTGAATTGACTTCCGGCGGTTCACGATCCAACCCATCCTGAAATCAGGGATCCCCAGTGAGCTCGTCTTCTCTGCAAAGCGTGAAACACAAAAAAGGGGCAGAACCCATGCCACGAAAAGTTAGAAGGGATTGTGAACACCTGGGCCATTGAGACTCTGTCTTTCAGCTGCAGGATGTTCCGCGCTGCATCTTGCCTGAAGGAGATCGATTCAGCTACACTCGACATATCTGAGCGGGTCCTCCCCCCAAAGCAACAAATCTCAGCTGGCACAGGTCCAGTCCGGAAAACCAAGTAATGCGCACCCAGGATTCAGTTGGGGGTGTCGTTTTTGGGGGACCCCCCGAAATGAGGGTTTCCTGGTGGTTGCCCTTTAACACCAACCAGAAAGGTACCGTCCCATTTTGGGGATCTGGAACACTTGTGCACAATGGTCTCAAGTTCGTCCAACTCACTTCCTGACTGTTGGCCGAACAAGTCCCAAACTGTTCGTTTGCCACTAATGGTCTACCCAAAAAGTATATATATATATACAGTATGGCACCTCTTGTGCGTGTGTGTTTGTCTGTTCCGGAATACTCCGGCCCGGCCCAGGGCGTGACCACAGCAACACAAAGTATACTACAGCCCAATGCGGGGGCCCAGCAGGGACCAAGCACATCGAACGAATCTGCCAAGTCGCTAAGGGCTTGTTCTTGATCTCCCTCCTGTGCTCCTCCTTTTCAAGTTGCCGCGAGAAAGCGCCAAAGAGTCAGTTCTGGGTAAACATTCTTGGCCGAATAAGGCTCATGCCCCCTCTGACGCAGACCGCCAGGCCCTCGAAAACAACCCATTTGGAGGGCCAAAAACCATCGGAAGGCTCCAGAATTGCAGATCTCTGTATACTTTCCGGATACGCGGAAGCTGCTCCTTCCCAACGGCGAACTCTTCGGCTGTGATTTCAAGAAAGGTTCAGATGACCAGTTTACAGTGGGAAACACAGGGGATCCTTACATGAAAAACACCTGAACATTGCAACTTCTAAATGGTGGTTTCAACCTTTATTTTGGTGTTGAGAAAAAGCAAAACATGTCTCGAATGGCGGCAAAATGGAGATGTCTTTTAAGGAGCCCTGGAACAACTCCTTCATTCCCACCATGGTCTTTGGGAAGGCATCCCTGCAACAGCCTGGGGCATGAGATCAGATCCAAGCCCCGCTCAGCGGGGTCTATTTCTCTATTGCAACAGCTGGTCACCTCCAAACGTGGTGTTTGTTCTGTTGGAACCTGTACACTTGTAATGGTTTGCAATTATCACTTGCTTCTTGTCAAACTTGTAGTGGGCTGTGGGGGTGCCATTTCTTTTTGAGGGTCACCCCTGTTGCCTGGTTTCAAAGACCCAAACGGACAATCAGCCGAAAAAAGGGACACGCCCATAGGTCAACAAATGGCTGGGTATCCCCAAGTGTGGTATTAACTGAGATCCAACGACCCAGCTCACTGGGCCCGGCGTGACATCCCAAATGAATGATTGTCAAAACCAGGTCCTAAAGTGGTCTACCCAAAACCTTGAAGAAAAAAAATAGGGAGCTTCTTGATGCTGCGATTTCTGGCGACTGTTCCGTACCTTTCATCAAACCAAGCCGGGGGACATAGGGAAAAAGAGCGTCTGGCGCGGGTCAAGGGTCCATTTGGGCGTGGGTCAAACAGAAGTGCCCCAAATGGAACCCTGGCATACTCAACCCTGCGGACAAAAGCCTGCGGTCCAATGCCTGGTGGTTTCATTTTGACCCATACCCATTTCATAAACTCCCACTCCGACGTTGACCCATGGGCCGTGGCAGAATCAATCACGGCTCCTTCTCATTCTTCCCCCGCACCTAGGCGAAATGAGAAAGTCTGCCATGGGAAATGGATTGCACGGGTATGGGAAATGCCAAAAACAATTAACGTGTTTGTTTGCCACTAGAATCGTCTTCACAAAAGTGTAAAGTCCATGAACTCATAAAATAAATAATCTTTCTGCACATGAATGCCATCGTCGCGCTTCAGTCAAGAAAGCGGCCCACGTTGTGGATGCGCCGGCAAAAGCCAAACGCGAAAAGCTTGGGTCTGTTACAACTCCGCGGAACAAACCAAGCGCTTCGAGTCCAATGTCAGCTTTGATTTGTGTCCCAGACTTAAAGAGTGTGGAACATGTATCCAACCGTTAGCGGCCAGGCTTCGATTCGTCAGAGTACCCAGCCTCATCTGGAAGTCAACCAGGACGGGAGTGCATGTCATGTTCCGGGGAGAATGGGCCGTTTTAAGTTTCAAGGGGGTAGGTGCTGTAGCGAGAAGCAAAGGTGTGGTGACAACCTCAAAAAAACATTTCAGCCTTGGAGGGTGTCCTGCAGGTTCCATGTTGGAGGGACGGTAAGTCTCAAATTGAGGCGGTGATTGTTTCCTGGTGCTTAGCTTCCTTTGCCCCTTCAAATTTCCTCCAACGCCATCAAGCCCGGTTCCAACTTCGAGGATGCGAAAACCGCCGAATTGGTCCGCAGGAGATGTTTGGAGGTCCCCAAAAAAAGGAATCCATGTTGCTTTGCGTGGAAGCTTGCAACATGCAAGGTCCGACTCTATCTCCTCTAAGGCCTCCCTCCCATAGCGCCTGTTCAGATCCATGTTGGGGGTGCCTGGACCCTCAACCTGTTGAACAATGGATACCGGGCTGTCGTTTTCGGGGACCCCTCCAAAATGCCGGTTCTCCTTTTGGTTCCCTTTAAGCACCCCCCCAATTTTTTTTTGGGGTAATTACCCTAAAAAAGAAGACAAACCCGTATCGCTCCAATATGTTGGGCGACTGCCTCCCCAGCACCCCCCACCTGCGGCGGCACTGCAGGCGCAGGCGGGGGAATTCGCCCAGGGATCGGCGCAGCGGGGGCGGCGGCGGGCAGTCCAGGTGGCCGCCTTGCGAGTGAGACGCGCGACAGATGCGCCTTGGCCTGACTCTTTTGGTGGCTCCAACTCGGAAAATCGAAAATCCCTAGGGTTTCAACCAAAAGGTTCGTCCAAAGATCCAAATAGCCATGCATCCAACAGGTGGGTTCCTGCAAGGGGACCAAAGCCTGGATTCCGCACCCATCGCACCAGCAAGATAAAGTTAAAGTTTGACTTTTGGTGGGTCCAATTCGGGGAAAAACAACTCGTACTGTTTCACCCGGTTTCAAACAGCCAGAAAGTATTCTCGGTTGCTTTCTGCTCCGCTGCTAATAGTGACTAACTTTTGGTGGTTTAATACGGAAAACCCGCAAACAGTTATTCAGTCCTTACATCCCTTGGCAAAATGCACCAAAGATTTAGAGAGCCATATACTTGGAGGGGAACACAGGACTCTTTTTTTTGTCTTGCCCCTCGAAATATGACTTTCTGCCAACCAAAAGACTGACAACCACCAAAGTATCGAGGGCTCAACCTCTCAACGAGGGCTGTGACGTCGGGGCGCGCGGGCGGCGCCGGCGGCGCCCAGAAGGGGTGCGCCGGCGGGCGCACGTCCACCTCGCAGGTTCGGGGCGCGCAAGGGGTGCCATTGGAAGCCAGTATGCCCCGATGTCCCGGATCAACCACGACGTCAAACCCAAGCCAACCACCTTGGACTTCTGCTTGTTGTTGCTTTTTCGTCTGTGTTATGCGAATTTTGAAGGGCAACCAGAAAAGAATGCCAACGTGTTGGGTTTTGGGGGGGGGGAGGGGTCCAAATCCCGATTTTCGCACAAGGAAATGGGCAACCCTTTGGCGCCGCCTGCAAAAGCCCAGCGGCACAAATTGGAAGGGGGGAGAAGTTGTAACCCAACTGATCACGTATGACCCAGGGGGCTGTATCCGCAGCATACTGCTGCTTTTTTTAGCTGCGCAATAGTCTCCCGAGTCACGTGTGTAGGAACTCGAAATCTTCCAAGTCTTCCAAATCGCTTTGCTGCTGCTGTAGACGACGCACGCTCGATCGTGCGATCAAAGGAGTACCAGGACCCTGTTCCTCACTTCCAGAGTGGAGTTGAACAAAGTCCTCACTTCCTGAGTTGGTGGTCAAAAAATGGTGCAAAGTTGTTGTTTGCCACTAAAAGTGTCTTCCCAAAAAGCTTAAAGTTCTGGAACTCTTTGACTAAAATGGCCTTAGCCCGCTCTTACAGCTGGGACAATGAATATAAAGAGAGAGAGAGAGAGTGCGAGAAGAAAGAAAGAAAGAGCAAGGAAAGCGAAAGCGAAAGATAAAGAGAAGGGGAAAAAGAAAGAGAAAGAGCAAGAAAGAGAAAGATAAAGAGAAACAGGAACAGAAAGAAAAGGAGAAAGAGAAAGAGAAGCAACTCAGCCTTTCCCTACTTTCACCAAGAACATTCGAGCTCTCTTTTGTCTAAGGGG